AAATCGCTTAGGCGGTTACAGCGCCAAATAAGAAGAAGAAGAATTAATTATATTATATTAAAACATAAACTTATGAGAAATCATTTAGTCTTAACATGCATATTTTATATCGTGTTCTAAAATTCGCTCCGAGCGCGATCACTATTGATCTTTTGATTCAAATATTGTTTGTCAAGCTTTCAGTAGTGAAGTTTGATCGGAGTTTATATATTATTCAGTAATTAATCATATTAAATTGAAATATAAACGCATAATATGGTAGAAAGTTAGAAATTATTTAGTGTTAATATGCATAATTCGCTCCGTCTTCCAAAATTCGCTACGAGTTCGTTCAATATTGATCATTCGATTTAAATAATTGTTTCTCAAGCATTCAGTACTATAGTTTGATCGGAAATTACATATTATTAAGTAATTGATCACATTTTATTAAAATATAAACGTTTAATAGGGTAGAAATTTTGAAATTATTTAGCTTTAGCATGTATAGTCGCCAGAGACAATTGCAGAAAACTGCAACTACTCGTAAAAACTTACAATAAAAGCAATGTAGATGAAGGTAATAAATATTATTATTAAAATTAGATCCATATATAAAATATTTTACATCATTTATTTGAATAAATCGGAATATATTTTTGCATATAAGATAGTTTCCATTTAGCTCATAAAGTACATATTTCACTACAAATATTTTTAAGATCATTTCCAATTGCAAAAATAGCGCTAATTAGTTGTATTGAAGTATAAAACATTTTATTACGTTCATGTTTACTTATAAAGCGCATAACAATATTTCTCTCGCCATTTTCCGATGTTTCAATTTTTCACCACGTTATTTTGCTGCACAGCACCCTGAATGCGGCAAAACAGTTGCTCGCAACCCTCAAGTCCTTTATGGGGACCAAATTAACAGCCACAACAACAAAAACCTTTTCTACTGGTATACTGTGCCTGTACGTGCTTTCTACTGAACACGTTGAGACGGTGAGCGTGCATGGTTGACGATGCGTGCGCGCTGTGACAAATGTTGCTGAAAGTAATAAACGAAAAAGATTTAACAAATTTTTTTTTACAAATAATTTCTTCAATAAATGCAGTTTTTGAAAATATAAACGAAATGGAAAACACTCATTGAGAACATATTTTTAATGCAACTTGAATATTTATAATGTTTAAATTTTAATATTTTTTTTTATAACTTATAAAAATATTTTTCTTTTAAAGCTCTAACGTCAATACGCTTACAAAAAAAAATTTCATCAACTTTCGTCGAATACTTTAAGAGAAAATAAGTTTAGAAAAAAAGATTGCATAAAAATATAACTGCTTATAAAAACTTTAAAAATTAAAATTAAAAAAAAAAAATCCCAGAATCCCTTTCACATCTATAAACCTCTCTACTCACAAATTTTCACGCAAAAATTCGAACTTGACTGAAATCCGAAGTCCAGTTGAGAAATTCTCACCCAATTGCAAGATCATAGAAAAAGATTACGCATGCTTGGAAGAGATCTCACAGGTGGAAATAAGACCATCGGTAAAGCTCATGACACCGAAAGGGATTGGTATTCCATATGGTATCACAGCGTTACTATTATTGGCCTATATGTGAGGAGGATACTGCGCCTTAGTGGTTTCTACTTATACCAAAAATTTTGACTTTGCAGACTATTTTTGTTAGGTATCAAATATGGTTTGAACTAGTTGTGTTAAGTTTGAAGA